TCTTTCCTTCCTTTCTTTTTCTTCTTTCCTTCCTTTCTTTTTCTTTCTTCTTTCCTTCCTTTCCTATTTTCATATTATTTAGGAACTGTAATTAATGCTAAATAATTTAATGATTGTATAAGTTTATTGCTATTTATATTAATGGGATATCATAAAATATTTAATTACTTTTCTCTATTTATAGTTTTATTGCATTGATACAATTCAATTAAACAGCAATCATTCAATATAAAGCAGTAATGGAAAATGAAGAGAATAATGGAAGAAAGGTGGAGAAGAAGCGATAAATTAAAATGGAATAATTTGAAGGCAAAATTACAAATTCATCACTCATATTTGTATCATTTCAAATCACGTGGCATACTTTTGAATTACAATTTATTGTTATGTTAGCAAATTTGCTACAACAACAAGTAAACTAGAATATTCAATCTACAACAGTAATAGTAATAGTAATATGTTTGTATAATTATTTTCAAATGAATATTTTTGTTTCTTTAAAGTTACAAAAAATTTAAGTTACTTAAACTTATATATAAATTCACATACACAACCTTACATATTTAAATAAATATTGAATCTATTCAACGAAACAAAAAAAAAAAATTACTATTAAAAATAATTAAAGTGTATTTTTGTTGGAAAGAAAAAAAAAACGGATTAAATAACATTTGCAAATGTTTAAGATGTGTTCGAAATTTGATAGGATAATAAATGATTCTAATGGAAGGATAAAAGCAATGCTAATAAAGCAATTCTCATCTTTATGACAACATCTACAGTTACTCATAATACACCTCTTACTGTACCTCAACTTGTCCAAATTTGCATCACATTTTTTGGTTAGTTCTTTTTTTTTTTTTTTNNNTTTTGTAAAAAAGCTTTTTTCATCATGAAATTAAAAAAGTTGTTGTTTAATGTGAATTCAATGATGTCAATTTCGGAGCTAGTGAAGTGAAATTTCGGGTTAAGTTAATATTAATTTAATTTAATTTCCTAACAATTTAAGATGGCAAATGATTGACTGATTAATTGCTGACAATATAATTAATCTTTAATCCTTAATCTTTGCATTGAAAATTATAACTATTACTTATTTACTTACCTTTTATTTATTAGTAATTGAAAATTATAAAAGAAAAAAACAATTTTATTTCTATTTCAGATGATGAAGAAGATGTGGAAAAAGATTCTCTTCCATGGGCATTATTTCACGTACATGAATGGTTTGTTGATAGTTCTGAGCTAATGGCGCATTTCATATCAATTTTTTTGGTTAGCAATTTTTTTCTCTCTCTCTCTTTTTTTTTTTAAATTTTATTAATTCGGCTTTTGCTACAATTATTCACGAAATATTATTAATGTTTTCGAGATTTCTATTTTGTTTTTACTTTCCATGCCGAGCAATATTCATTGCTGCATCACCGTTTTATATGGCTTGGAAATTTTAATTTCAATTTCAAATTTCCAAACTATTTTTTGAAAGCCAAAAATTGATCATTTCAATATTCGAGCTTTAACTTATAGCCTTAAAATCATTATGGTAATAGTAATGTAAGCGTTATATTTAATTACGTAATTTTTAAACGAACCATCAGATAGTTAAATTGGAAAAAATTCTACAATTACAGTCCAAATGAATTTTATCATCCTTTTTTTTTATTATTTCAATTGTAAGATATTTTCAGTTCGTTAAAATTATTGAAAAAGAGGAAAATATAGACTGAAAATAAATTAATAAATAAAGAAGAGAAGATTTTCTAGTTTTTTCTTAAATCTCGAGTTTTATTTAAATCTGAAATTTAAATGATTCGAATGCAATGATGCGATGATGGATGGATGCATGTTGCAATAAATAGGAATTACCGCAAATTGATAATATTTTTCATTCATTCCCTAAAAGAAGTTAAAAAATGCTAAGGTCAATGGGTTAATGAAGTTAAAAAAAAAAAATTAAAAGAAATTATCATTAAATGAATGAGTAAGAAAATTGCAATGATTATTTTTATGTGCAAAAAAAAAAATTTTTTTTTAAAAAATATGTTTCAAATAAATAGAAAAAGATTATTTCAGCAATTTTATTTAGGATGCAGTAAACGATAATAGCACTCGTTTACGGATATGTCGAGCGGTCGGATATTGGATCCGAATATGTCCGACACATTTTGATGCATCCTTATGTAAGCTTGTTGAACGCCTTAAATTGTTGGCTATTTCAAGAAATGTCCCAAATTCTGCTACACTTCTTGACCTCTCATCATTGTAAGTTTTCATTTACTGTATTTTTTTTTCCTCTCTTTTTTTTTTCATGATTGTAAATTGAGTAAAATTTTACTGTTATTTTTCTAAATTACTACCGTTTCGTTGATTTGCTAGCATTAAGCTTAGCTTGTTTCAATTAAATCTCGTTGATATATTAGTATTTTACTAATACATCAAGCGTTCTCTTCAATTGCTTCTGTGAAGTTTTTTTAAAAAAAAAGTTCATTTTTTTGCAGAAAATTCTTTTGCGAAATTTCAAAAGCTTGAAAAAATTATTTAATCTTTGGTAGTGTT